GCTAGCAGCAGAGTTAACCAAAGGTAGTAAATCTTTGCAGCAAAACTAAACTGCGCTGCTAGATTGCCAGTGCCATTACCCCCTGCTGTGGTGAGTCAACAACATATTAAACTACCTCAGACAAATGCCAAACCACTGGTGCAGAACTGTGCAACATCTGTGTTATAGAACAGGCGATTCACCTCCCCTGAAACAAAGACCACCTCCACTAACGTCGTACATAAAACATTAAACTTCAGGGGAAAGCGTGGAGGAGGACCACCTTGGCTAAACGGTTTCCTGGGGGAAACCCAGCAAGGTATGCCTGCACAAAAATAGAAGCTGTTAAGAGCATAAGCTTTAAAAAAGGTCCAAAACTTTCACCGACATGATTAGTTTTACACCGCTGGAGATGTAAGATGTCAACTTATTCGTCATTTTTAATGGCAACAATCAAGAGTCCAGGATATCCATAGAATGAGCCCAAAACCAAGGGCAATAAATAAATAAAAACATTCTACAGTACTGGAATCAAGTGCGAACAACTTTTTGTTTGTTTGGCTTCTGTTGTTTGAAAGCACTAATTTTCACTGGACCATAACCAAAGGCAAGAAATAGTGAATAAACAGAGAACAATCTGTAGCCCGTCATCCAGCATCAAAATGACTCTTAGAGCAACTGCACACTAGATCTTGCATGCAGGAGAACCCAATTCTTAAACTGAAACTTAAACATACTACAAGGAGCCTCTACAATGCATATGATGAAGATTGGCTGTTTCCATATAGTTATTCTCAATGCCTGCCACCGGATCGGATTCGGAATCAGATGAAGCGCTACTGCTTTTGTCCATAGGGGTCGCCAGATTCAACACAAAATGAAAAGTTCCTCACAACTGCTTTAAATTTAAATGTGTACTCTTAATACAATGGTCCTAGTTGCATTACCAAGAACTGTTTTTTTCCCTATTACGCATACACTAACAGCAGTCAGTAGTTTAAACAGAGTTTGCTTACCAAAATTATGTAGCACTAAACTATTTGTGGTTTCGCTTTTACCCTCCAGTAATTGAAAACATTTCCATAAACTGATCTCTGTCACTGGGTCTCTGTTTTCACTTTTTTTTTTGCAACTTGAACGTGCCTACTGGGTGAAAATAGATACCTTGCATCTAGCTGTTGTTCAAGAAAGGGAGAGTTACCCTCACCTGGCAGGCACAAAGCACAGAAAATAGGCAGACTGGGGTTATGAAGCTATATAAAAAAAGCTTTATTTAATAATTTAGTTGTTATTTGTGTTTGAATAGCTGTTTCCTGTTACTTGGCTTTCATGCCCACACATTTCTCACAGTTACTCTCATCGAATTAGATTGTATTTGTGGTGGTAGCTGACTGTGGAGACTTTGGGAAATACAGCATTCTGCAGTATAATGAAGGACTGAAACAGAGGTCTTGTTGTATTCTCTCCAGTGACTGCAGCTGAGTATAAGAATATAATGCAATACCAATTCATTTTAGTTCATTTATTTTTTTATTGGAATAGAAACAAAAGCATCAGATAATCACTGATAAACAATTTTCACATATCAGTGTTTTTTTGTAGCCTAAGCTCATTTGCAATGCTTGTCCCTCGAGGATTTTTATTTTTATACATACACAAATACAAAAGTAAAATAAAAGTAGACGCTAAGTTTAGACATCTGATCTTCCATTACTACTTCACGGTCACTTTGGAAACCTGTTTGACCGGCTGTCCACTAACTTTCCACAAGTTTTTCTATTTACTCACAACAAAGGTCACAACATTAAACAGACAAGCAGTCATACTGAAAGAGAAAGTCAACAAGTTTGCCTAGACTTGCCAAATATGATCCAACATCCTAGACCCTTCAAAGAGATTGGGAGCAAATATGTAATCATCCCTGTGCTGTGCCGACCTTTGTAGTTTTTCCTTCCTTCCTTTATTTGTTTACCCTGATGTGAAATTTGTGATCTCTCCTTTTAACCTTGATTTGCTTCATGACACAGTATGTGTTTTATGTCCTAAACTGCAAAATTTGGTATCATTTAGGCCACGGCTTATTCAGCCACTTGGTCAAAACAGAAGACACTTTCAAATGATTTGCCATTTGAAAGTGTCTCTGTTGAAAGTGTCACTGTTAGGCCAACACAAAAGGGCAGTCCCACTTCCTTAGACGGCTTGCATTTGGGGGATAAATATGTGTTTAAATTACAAGCTGGACTATCACACAGTCACGCATGCCGTCCCAATACAACAATCAAGTCACTGCAGCTGTGCAGAATCTCTTGTAAATCTTGGTGAAACAGCTGCACTTCCCACACTACCAAGCCAAGATTTAATCTCCTAATTATTTTCTCCATTTGGGAACACAGATCACATGGCCCTGGTGGCCTGTCCTGTCTGTTCACTCATTGTATGGAGTCATATGTGTTTGAATGTCCTAAAGGTCACTTATCCACAAGTTGAAACTTAATATATGCACGGAGCTCTTCCCTCACATATTTTCCATGCTGTTATTATGGGAGGCTGAGCTGTTCTCAACATATGTCACATCGTTAGCCCATCATCTTGATCCTGGCTTTTTAATTCTCAATCTCTGCCTTCAGTTCATTCGTGCTGCTGTTACCTGTGCCCCTGCAAACTTCCCATCACCGAGACTGGGCAGTGATGGTATGATGTGGAGGGACTCAATCTGTCGAACCTCTACGACCACACAGACAGATGAAAGCTTGTTTTTATGATTACTCTCTCTATACACACTCTGCATTACTCATTAACTCATGTAGTGGGGTTGCCAACAGAAAGCCCAGACTAGTTAGATATGGCACCTTGAAAAAGTCCTTTATTCCAACTCACAACAAAAAACATACAGTATAACAGTGAAGGACAGAGTGGTGTCGGCATTACACGTTTTGATGAAAGTACCAACACTGGTATTGGATTTGTCTAAAATATGTTCACAGCAATAATTGGGAATGCACCAATATCCAAGTGGGGAATAACCAATTCAGCCAGCCCAAAAATTGATCATCGGTGAGTGCCATCTTATTTACCAATGTCAGTCAACGAATAGGCGAATATCGGCCAATGCTGATGTTTGGCTGTTATATCGATGCATCCCCAGCAGTAATGTCTGATGTAGGCATATCTGCTAAACTTACTACTTATGGGAAAACTAGTGCTTATAGCCTGCAATGATTAAGTACGCATCTTATATTGCACAAGAAGCCACCTCATTGCCAAACAACAGATACATCCGCACTTATTATTTATGACGTTTTAATATCTTACGTCCTCCGCGCGTTGAATTCGTGAAATCTAATAAAAACAATTGTGACAAAGTACTTACTCACTGAGGCGAGGAAGTCTGTGCCCAGATCTAAGCCACCAGACACATTCAAACCAGCAGTACGCCACTTCAAGGTTTACTTAAGGGTTTTAAGAGTGAGAGAGCAAACACAGAGAACATGTTAAATAAAATACAAGTGGAGCTGAGGTTCAGGAGTCCTGGACTGAAGCCTCAGACACAGCCTCCGTCCACTGCCACGGCAATATAACGCGGAAACACTGAACTCTAATATATATAATACCTATGAGGGTTAACTTAGCTAGTACGTCGACTACCTCGCCATTTAATGAACAGATACACAGCTTATGTTACAACGTGTGACTATCCTACATATGGCACATTTGCCATTAAAAAAGAATCATAATGTGGAACTTACTGTACACGCTCCTCTAAAAGCAGAACACGTCTATGGTCAAAAGGCACTGTGAACACCAATGTCTTGTCTGGTGTGGTTAGTCCGGTTATTTAACTTTCACTTTCGTTATGAGTAGCCTATCCTACACAGTTGGCACTTTGGACCAATGAAAGGCAGAGACATTGAGAATATATTTATACGCTCGTTATTCTAGTTTTGACACAGTGAATGCTTTAGGTGTGAATATGGAGAACAAGAGATAAGGAGAGGTTATGGACTTTTATAAGGCTGTCTTAAAATAAGTCAGTCGTATGAACCTTAAAAGCTAACCTTTCAAATGCACTGTGAATGCAGCCTAAGTGACAGAGTCTCTGCTTTGGTTGCAATAATGCATATTTAAAACAGTGGATCTCAGTACTTTGAATCAGTCAAATCAAGTGAATGTATTTGAAAGTTTTTTTTAACATTCAAATTCCTCTTTGTGTTTTGGTGGACAGTGTTTGAGCTCTTAAAAAACACACACAGCAGTACAACAACCACCCATGGTCAAAATTGATTTTTAATGGTAATTTCCACTTGTGCCATTTCTTAATTTCATTTTTTCTGTAGTGACTTACATCCAGCAACAGGAATTGGTATAGGACGCAAGCAGAAATGTCTTGCATCATAACACACGTTAAAAATAGACACCACAGGAATTACATTTCATGTACCTGAAATGTAGGTCTTCTTGCGTGACAGCTGGCCGACACAGCAGTCACACACAGCAGCCACACACGTGGACTCAACAAGACAGAAGCAGGAGGGAGTTTTGGATTTTGGTTTAAATAATGTGACATGAAATGTTCTAAAAGAATGTTGTATATTTCCAGTGAGAAAATATAGAAGGAAAAAAAAAAACAGAAAAAAAAAAGGCTGAGCTGTCATAAGGTCACTTGTCAAATCTAGGATGGGTTTACCAGAAACAGTGACGTGTCAGGACCAACAACATTCCATTAACTCGCACTGGAAAAACTAGGTCTTGATGGCCCACTGGTAGGATCCGACTGGGGAAACCCAACCTTGTTTGATATTGTAGCCTACCATACAAACAGGCACACTTTATTTTAGAGTAGATTTTACCTATAAAAACATGGGGTACTCAAACCTGGCACTGGGGTTACAATAATCTAAGGTTAGAGACTACAATATAAAAAAGGCTTTTTCCAATTCTGTTAAATGACATGGGACCTACAGTAATCATCTGAAGACAAATGTTTGCATCCTTCAGATCACAATGACAGTAATTTATGTGGCTCCTATGTGGATCATAATAATAATAATAATAATAATCATAATTATCAGTAGAAATATTCCAACTTCATGCAACAACAATACAACAATTGTTCCACAAAATGCAACTAACAAAGGTTAAATAATAAAAAAAAAATCTTCACAGTTATGTTTCTTCTCACATTCATACATTACAGACCAGACGTGCATGCAAGATGGGTCAGAACCGAACACAGTGCAAAACTGACAGCTTTTTTCTTTGCCTGTGTCCTAGAGACTTGCTCGTGTAATCACCTACAGCTTGTGCTGTCGCAATAAAGTTAGGAGATATTTACCATTGGTTGATATGACAAATGTGATCCTTGTACCCTTTCTGGCAGGTCTAATGCATCACAGGGGCAAAGGCAGACTTTGAACCATGTAATTAGAAATACATAAAGTGCTTCTGTCAAACAAACAAACAATAAAAACAGTACAAAACAGTTTTCAAAAAAGAGGTATCAAAACAATGCACTTGGGGATGTGGAGGAGACTGGTGTCTGTTGGACATCAGATAGGATTCCTGCGGTACAGACAAATGGGCTGGGGTTCCTTGTTTGAAGAAATAAAAGATGAGTTCAGAGATGAATGGATGTAAGGAGGAGCAGTCGGTTGGGATTCAGCCGAGGATGAGGCTGGACTTGCCCCCAGGAGGATTCCTGCGGCCGGATGGTAGTCCTGCAGCGGACTCCTCAGCTGGAGGGGCCTCCTCCTGCTGCCCTGGCACTGCTTCCGGCTCAGCAACACTGTTTTCTGAACACAGGCAGAGAGACTAAATTCTAAGTTACAGTTCACTATAATTCACTAAACTAAGCACACATCCACACAGGGCTCAACGCTATCTTTTGCCCCAGGTAGTACTTCTAAATGAAAAAATGTAGGAGCACACAAAGAAATTTATGAAAAATCCACGGCATGCAGTGAAACGTGGCAGTAGTGGATTTAGTGCAGCAGAGGTACTGCTGCTACACGGAGGGGGCCGGTTTAGGAGTAAGGGGCTGCCACTAAAAGAATGTGTCAAACTTTGATAAACATGGCAAATTAGGCCAAACAGTTAGCCTAAGGAGCGTACTACAGCTAAAACATACCGATGACAGATAAGAGTCTGTGGACACCCCGGGTGAAAAGAGCTTTCTGCAAGTTTGTTTGCATGTTGAGCGGGCGCTTTAATAAGCCTGATTCAAATAAAGGTTATTTATAGATAATCTCCTCGTTCATGACAACTGCACACCAATCCCCCCCCCCCCCCCCCCCCCAGGTGGTGGAAGTCGATGACTGGGATTAAATTTTGATATTAAACTCACCCATTTAAATATTATTACAGCCTTAAAGTTTTTGCAATTTAATTTAAAAGGTTCTTAGTGTGTAACAATTTTGAGAAAGGGCATTATAAATAAAATTTATTATTATTATTATTATTATTAACATTATTATTATTAACATTTTAGCTCTATTTGCAGAAATATAATCTGGTATTCATAGGTATGTTTCCATTAGTATATGATCACTTGAACATAGGAATTGCTGTGTTTTTTAAACACAGAATGAGCAATTGTTGTCTACAGATGCCGCGGGTCGCCTTTTCCTGGAGTCCGCCATGTTGAACTGCCATGTTTTTACAGTAGCCCAGAAGGAACAAACCGAACACTGACTATAGGGGCGTTTGCGTTTTGTGGCCAATATAGTGTCTCCTTCATGCTTGAGAGGATGGAGCGAGGGAATCTGCAACTACACTGCTAGATGCCACTATAATCCTTTCATTGTCAAGAGCATTGTTCAAGTGCAGGGATTGTACCCATTACGTTAAAAATGACTGTAGAAATCTGCCAACCGGTAGGCTACAGGGAGATACAACAGGCTACCCATGTACTATAAAACTGGGTGCTTACCAATATCACGTACAGAATTGTCTCCATCCTAAAAAAAAAAGAGCAAAAAAGAAGTGTTAAGTATTTCACTTGCCTTCACAGACTGAGGAACAGGAAATTCTGTACTCATCGTCATCGGTGTTGATGAACGCACTTAAAAGTCATTTGGTAATTCTTGGTAATTGCTACACAAGCTACCTTTGTGAGACATTAAGGGAAGATGAAGAGAAAGTGCTTGAAATTATCTGGACTTTACTTGCTTCCCTATAAGTTTGTCTGCTCTCAGGTTTCACTTCATTTCTTCTCACAACTCATGATCTTACTGAGGCCGGGGCATCTGCAGAGTGGTTGGTGGTGGGGTTCCCTCCTCTCCTCAGGGGGGCTGACGGCTCACCACACAGTACCCCTGTGGGCTTCCCGCCTGAAACAAGAAGGAGACATAATGGCTCAGAGAGACAGGCCTTCATACAGGAGGTGCAAAGACAAAATACGATAATTTCTCCATGTTTATATGATGAGAAAAAGGCCATGGTGACATACAGTATGTCCTATCATTACAACATTGCATTTTTTTTCTTCCAAAATTAGTTGGGCTAACCTGGGAATGTGTGTATGATCAACTGACCACTTACATTTCTTGTCCCAGCTCATTTTTGTCTGTGTGACAACTCTTCAATAGGCAACAGTATTGTTTTCGCCAGACCACAACAGTTGGGGTAAGCTGTGTAATATTATGTGTATTCATATTGTGGCCCTACCAAATTTCATGGCGATCCATGCAATAGTATTTGAGGTATCTTAGTCTGGACCAAAGTGGGGGAACAACTGGCCGACAAACCAACGTCCGCATCCCTCTGCATTGCTAGCATGTATAACGATAGGGATTGTTTGAAAGATTCATCAGTGGCAGATGAAACTGCATCAGAATTATACAAACAACAGTATCTGGGGATTATAGACTGAAACCAGCAATGAGGAAAAGTAACTCATATTTTCTGGTAATCACGCAAACGACATGTGTTATGATGCGATCTTCATACACAGAGGAAACAGGAAGAAAGTCAAATTTCCTCATAATGTTAACCATAAATGCTAAAGCATCCTTGTGTCCGGAGGGTGGGTAATTTCCAGAATTTTTTTTATCTTGTATCTTACACTACACAATTGCAGTCCACGGATGCCCTGCCCTAAGGATCATGCTCCTAAACATTTCCTACACATTTTCCTGTTGGGGAAATACCAGATTTTGGAATTTTCACTTTGATATTAAATGTCATTATTACAACAACTCTTTATACTGGTGTGGGTGTGATGTGCTTCTGTGTAGGCCTTTCCCCTCTGAATAGGCAGTTTTGCTATGCTTTCATTTTCAATCTCCTCATTTACAGGCGTATTGTCTTAATATCTTAGTGAAACAAGCCATTACATACACAGAGGAAACAGGAAGAAACTCAAATTTCCTCAAAATGTAAACAATAGATGCTACAGCACCCTTGTGTCTGGAGTGTGGGGAATTTCCCCTAAATGTTTAATCCATAACTGGGGATCTTGTATATTAGGAAAACCCGAGACAATTGCAGTCCACGGATGCCCTTCCCTAAAGATCATGCTCCTAAACATTTCCTACACATTTCCTGTTGTGCGTTGGGGAAATATCAGATTTTGGAATTTTCACTTTCATATTAAATGTCACTACTACAACAACTCTTTATACTGGTGTGGGTGTGATGTGCTTCTGTATAGGCCTTTCCCCTCTGAATAGGCAGTTTTGCTATGCTTTAATTTTCAATCTCCTCATTTACAGGCGTATTGTCTTAATATCTTAGTGAAGCAAGCCATTGTAATTTTCAGAATAAGAAAGTAATATATGTGGATTCATTCCCAGAGACTGGGTCACAAATAAAGTTGCAGAATTTCTTCCCTTCTGCTAAATGCACTTATTTTTTCTCTTTTATAAAGTGTACATTGTTTTACTAAAAAAACAAAGAAAGCCTTAACTCTTCTCACTGTGAATTGGGTCGCCATGGTTTGTCATTTTTAAAAAGTGAATTCCCAGAAAAAAAGGTTTGGGAACCACTTGACGGGAGTGTCTTGGCCAATTCACACCGCCAAAGCACTTTTGATATTTATCACACATACGTTACTATTAGTACCAATCCACACCATAATATGGTTACTGTATGACATGTTCCCATCTGATTTATCCTTGTATACTGAATTTGTAAATCAGATGATTACATACACACTCAAAAAGACAAACTATGTTTACAATTACAAGAAGAAGAACTGCTGTTTGGGTTTTTTAGGCTGTATTTGACCATATTTAGTGCCTGTGTTAGAGACTGAGTGTGTGGTATTCACTCAAGAGTTTCTGATCCCAACAAAATTGTCAATAATACTCTCTGGTGTGCAAGAACTTGTCTCAGTTGTCAACAGTGACGTGAATGGAGAAGAATCATAGAGGTGAAAAGTACATGAAGTACATTAAGTTAAATCTTTTAATTTAAAATAAAAAGCAACCCAGTTTACGATTGTCTCTACTGTCCTAATCAAAGGAGAACAGTAAAACAAATGTTTTTACTGTGAGAAAATATAGCCCTACCATAAAACACCCGCTTTGTTTTCTACTTTCAGCTCAGAAAGGTCATCGTCATCTAACTGCGATACTGCTTCGTCACAGCGATGTAATTAGTTTACAGTAACGTCACATGATTGAACAGACAGCAAAAACAGACAAATAAAATGTCTTAAAGATAGAAACACTGTCAGATGTCAGAAATATGAGATCCAATAAGGTAGTTGTGTATGTCAGGTGTGTCCAGTCTGATGGAGGCAGACTGAAAGGACACTCATCCTCATTTATAGGAAAATACTGTACATTTTATTTTACATTATTTGGGCGTCCAACTGTACTAGCTGCAAGCCCCACTTGTGTGAAAATGTGAGCAGTACGAGCATACAAATGGGCGGCAGAGAAGCGGATAATACTGCAGGAGTGATTTAACAGTTTTTCTGGATCTTCACACAAAGTAAAAAAAGGTTTGCTTCCAACAAAGCACACACAGTTCTTATTTCAGATACTTCCCCTCTGATATCATGTACAAAACAACTTTTACATTGTGCGGTATAGACACATCTTGACCAAGAAAGGGGAAGTCGAACAAGGTTATTAACTGAACAAGATGTTTAGTTTAAGATTCTGCCTATTAAATATAGAAGATCTAGATACATGGATTTCCAGTTATGCTGTCATTTTAAAGTTGGACACAGCATCTCCAGGACTGCCATGCCAGTCCAATTGCCTATGTACATTCATGGCGGGGCACAACACAGCCAATCACTGGGATTCTCTGAGCTGTGGCAATTGCACTCATCAAAACGATGAGACAGGCACTCAGTGACTATGAGGAAAGTGCTTGTTGAAATGTTTTTTTAAAAGTTTATCCTTTTTAGCCTTTCTGACTCTAGGTTCAAAACTCTGTCAGGACTGAAGTCTCACTTCTCTCAGCAAATGAGAAGTAAAAGGAGGAAGAAGAAAATGGTGGTAGAATATGTGAAAACTTCAATATGCATTCAGTCTGTGACCACATAGAATTGTTTTTAAATATCTCCTGTAGGTGTTATAGTGTTAAGTGAGAATCCCAAAATACTTTTTTAGAAAAAAAAAATACACTGCGCTGTCTCAAGAAACATTCATAACACTAGAGCTGTCCCCTAATAGTCGACTAGACAATAATTCTTAGTTGAAGCACTTTTAATTAGTTGGACAGTCACAGAAAAACAACAACAATGTTAAGCTCCGTTTGGGAGCTGCGCCTTGTTACTGGGACTGAAGTATCAGGGGATTGTTGCAACAAGGATCTTTTCTCTTCTGTGTTTCGAAAAACAAGACTTGTGTGATGTTATAGTGTTGAAATAAATTGACTAAAATCAGAATCAGAATCAATTACTGTTTTTTCGGTTATCATTTAATAGGCAGCTATATAAATACATATTTAAATGTTTAAATGTTTTGCGTGTAGTTGGTGCAGGACTGTGAAACACAGTTCTAGAAAGTATTATTTCATTTCCTGTTTCAGTAGCATTTTGCTGTGTATATTTTTAAGACTGGAAAACCCCGCACTGGGTAAGAATAACCATCCATAGATACATAAGGACATAAAAGGAGGGTTTGGTTTTTTTGTCTGTTATGATCCCTCTTATGAATATACTTAAATTCTCTGATAAACATCTATGATCTTACAAGGACTCGAGGCAGCTCAATTCTACATGAATATTTTAGATCGCTGCAGACTTAAGAAGATCCTGATTAGTGGAGAAACACTAGTGATTGAATACCTACTCACAGCCTGAAAGACAAATCAATGCATCAATAGGGCAACTAAAGGCATTCTGTTATGTCAAGTAGCACCACTGGAGACAGCGAATGTTATTCTTATGTATTCAGCTGTCTGAAGTTTTGAGCCTGGGGAGGCAGAGGATCAGTTTGGCCCTGCAGCAAGAGAAAAACCTGCAGTGAAAACCTTGTATCTCCACCAGATATGACAAATTAAGTTATAAGCTTTAACAGTAAAGCGACATGTTTGGAGATTAGGAGGATTGTACCTGGTGGGTTGTTCCTTCGATTAGCATAGGGGTCCTCTGGCTCAGCGAAAACACTGGAGGCCATCTTGTTTTTCCGGACGGGAGGCTTCTCCTCATCTGCACCAAGTGAAATGTTGGAGCCGCCACCAGGAGGGCGCAAAACCCTGCAAAGTGAGAGATGGTGACCAACACTGTTAGTGAAAGTTGGATCGTCCGGGTGATTCTTCTGCAGCGTCTTCTTGCCATTCTCAAATTATTGATAAAAAAATAACCTGCTGTGGTTCACACTGGGGATGAGCAGAATTCAATTAAATGAAAGAAATTATTGTTCATTCACACTAGTGTCAATAAAGGTCAACAATCAATTTTAATTTGGGTCATTTAACAATATGCTACCCTTCAGAAGAAAATGAAATGACTTGAACTGTCTATGGGATGGATCTGTTTCAACTAATTGTGTTGTTATTCCTTTTGTATCCTTTTATACAGTTATGGTTACAGACTCTCCTTCCACCTCCCTACACTTGTGTTTGAGTGTAATTAATTGCCCAAAAAAAGACACAATAACAGTTAAAGGTGGCTTTGACTTAATGTTTTTTTAATTCTAGGGTTAGATTATGGGTGGACCTGTAATTGTTATAACAATACTAATATGTCATTATTACAGGTGTTTCTTTTATTTTGTCATATTCATTGACAAACAAGGGTAGACTAAATATTAAGAAGACCTCTCAGTATAATGCCATACAGTTCAACAGTACCACAAACTACAGATTCCTAAATGGCCTTTATGAGGGTAACAACAGGGTTGTTACTTTTGACTGCACTATTTTGAACTAGGTGTGCCTAAAAACCTGCAACTATGTACATGTGCTGTAGGACACCTGCTGTACCCTCTACACTATATCCATATTGAGTATTTTCTTTCAAATTGAAAGATACCACTTGATAGTGCTTCCACACTGGCTGAAATAAATTGGCCCAATTTAATTTGTATTGTCACGCTATGATGGAATTTACCACGATAAGCACATGACTTAATGAACACTAAATCCTTCAATGTTAAATATGCATTATTCCAGATTCAACATCACGGGAATGTCTCCGGATGTGGATTCCTTTCATTGCATCTCTATGATTGAAAAACATACATGTAGCCCGGGTTATTGTCAGATGTAACATGGCCCTCGCCTCAATGAGGCCATATGCTGGGCAGACGAGCGCATGTCTTATTGTACCTCACTGATCATCTCGATAACTGATCCCAAATCCATGGCGGCCCCGCCCAACTGGAGTGACAGATCTGATAAATCTGTCGTTGTCAGACAATAAACACGAAAAAGTCATCAGAAAATACACGCCCTGAGAAAACACACAAAAGGCCTACATGTAGCACTAACGTCTGGTGCCGAGCCGCCCAGTCTGCACTTGCTAGCTGAGCAGCTTCACCAGCTACAAAAGGGAGGCTGCATGTGTGCTATGTTGCTAGCTAGCGTTAAATAATGGGACTGGTCCATCCCAACAGACACAACGGGAAGGTGTGGTACCGAGCTTCACCGTAGCACCGACGCCCCGTGCTTACACGCAACCATTTCCAAAACCGGTTGAGTAACAATTATGGACGTGGGGCCAGAGCAAAAAAAAAAAAAAAAAAAAAAAGCCTTAAATTGTACGTGAACCTATGTAGCGTTGAGGTTAATGCCGGAGGATGCTGGACGCTTCGTGGTAGCTAACGGGTTACAGAAGGGTCTGAACGACGCCTTTACCTGGAACTGCTTTTAGAACCGGGCTCCATCCCTTGATATGTCGTGGTCGTCGTCATTTTAGCGCAAAGAAGTCGTAAAATATCTATGGATGTGACAGTATACACGCGAATTACACTTTCATTACCAGTACTTCACCGCCTCATCATTGTCTATCCTAGCCGGTGGTTTTCCCAATAATCAACCTGCCTCCAGTCTGAGTGGTTCGGTGTCAAGCTCAGCAGAAGGAGCAGTCGCGCTTCCGGTCAAAATTTCAAAGTAATATATGTCAACTTGACAAACCAAAGGTTGCGGTGGTTTTAAAAACATATCCAAGTTAAATGAAATCATATCTACATTATTTATGTCAGGATTACATTATTTAGGGTTGAAGGTTTGTTCTTTATGACCCCGTTTTTAAACAGATGTGACACATTTGGAGTGTAATCCGGAGGCAAAATCCGACGTATTTCCGGTTTTCCTCTGCTTAATTCCTGGGTGCTTCTCCTTAATAAAGCCCTGGATTTGACAGAGGTGCTGGTGCGACATAAACCACTGTGGAGAGGATGTTTCTATAGCCTAAGTACCGCCCACAAGTGAACAGCTCCTTCTATGATTGAATCCATGCACATCCATCAGCTTTCATCATGTATTAAAACCATTGACAGTATATGATTAAAACACGTATTGTTTATTTAAAAGGTATTCACAAAAAAATGTACTCATTTGAGGGTAAATTCATTTTGTCTGTGCTGGTAGCTCTCCAAAGGCCAAACTGGAGTTTAACTGTAAGATCCTACTGGAGCTATTTACATCTAAAGTAAGGACAGAGAGACAAATTAATCATGCTATTAGAA